ACCTAGACACAGGAGAACTATTGTCGTGAAAGTGTTGTACAGTCGATTACGAATTTAGATTGCAGAGAGTTTGTTCTGAGCGCTAAAGGCACTCACGATAGAGCACATTTTGCTTTATTCTAACATCCACACGCAAGACCCTGATATTAGTATGGCAAGAAAGAAGAAGCTACGTCCTGGGCCAGGGGCCATTGCTGAAGTCCTCGCAAAATTCATCAAGCCCGTCAAACCTGTTCCTGGTCCAAAGCATCGAAGCACGGTCATTCTTCAAGAGGAAGTGAGTGACGGCGGGTGAAAGCAGATTTATCGCTTCTACTACGAGGGGGACTCGAGGGAACAAGAAAGAACGCTCATGTGGGCGAACTATCGCTTCGTAAAGATCATAAAAGAAGGCGATCACATGCTCCTTTTTGGAGAACCTGGTGAACCAAGAGCCGAATATCGAATGGCGTCATTCAAAGGCGCGAAGGATCTTAGTTGAGGATGTGAAGAAAGGTGTTATTAAATTTGATGACGACAATAAGCTTTGGGTTCACGGTCATGATAGCTCTTCAAGGCAAATGGCAATCAATCACAGCAATGCTGAAGTGATGGATAACTTTGATGATGAAAACATCTTTGCCCATTACGCTCTCGTCTTCCCTCCAGAGACTGTACTATCCATCGATTGCCTCGATATGCACGAATATGACCGTCGCCAGAAGATTCTTCCGATGGCACCCATCGGCGCTCTTACTGAAGTTGCGCCTCTCCTAGTCAAACTGGGTACTTCAAGAACGATGATTACGTTCAATGGCAGGTGCTTCGTGGAGACGGTGAGGGCCTTCGCTTTGCGCAAACAGCTCCTTCCAGGAGCTCCAGAGCTGCAGACATGTTTTGGAATACATAGGTTGTAGATTATAATAAACTAAGGGTCGTGAATATTCATGCATGGGCGCTTTTTTTAGTATTCTTTGTAAATACCTAGCTCCTTCACATTAGCACAGACTCGAGTCATAAGCGTACTATGAGTTTGTAAGTTGATCTAGAACTCTTGTCTATCTTCGTTATATCTATCTACAACATCTTCGATTAGAATATTGTAGAGTGAAATCTCCCCTTGGATGCGATATTGTGCCAGAACGCATCGAGCTTCAAACGCGTCACTGAACCTTGTTTTGTTGTGACGGAAACGGGTATCCAAAATGTTGTTTTCCTTCAACAAATTGTTAAAGTTTTCATGTCCCTTGAGAGCTCGGCTCTTGAAGAGCTTGGCTCCAGCATTATCGTGCAAATTGCATGTACTGACATGGTTAGGTTCACCATTGTAGCCTTTATCGCAAATGGCGGATTGTTTTTGTTGCTTGAGTTCCGCAAGCAGCCCTTCTTCCCTCAGCACAGTAATATCATTTGTCTCCGCTGGAAAGGGACCACGGATCCACAACAGCCGATTGTCGACTAGCGAAATTCCCAATTCATAGTCGAGACCGGCTTTGTTGTATTTGTGGGAGTAGTAGCGCGGACCTTGACTCCACTTCGGACGAGAGGGCTCATTGATCCAGCAGTGTATCCCATCCACCGACATTACCCATCTCTTACCCTTTTGAGAATTTTCTTCCCATACAATTACCTTGTCCTTCAACATCCGGATCTTCGCGATCGCAGCCGATGTTTTTGTCCTTGCCCAACCTGCTGAGAAATTGAACGTCGCCGACAGGTGTTGGGATATGACGAAATATGAGTTTTTACGTTCCAAAATGAAACTATTCAAGTACGAGGTTTTCGACACGTGCGATCGGAATTTGATCGTGCAAGATGTCGGGATTCGACGCAAGTATGCCGGACGCAAGTCTGTTGGACAATCTGTATCCACACAAACAGGAAAAGATCCTGTACAAGTGGAATATCGATGTTGTGTACGATGCAGTAGGGAATTATGCAAGATATCCCAAAGTACTGCATTCAACACAGAATTGCCGTAGAAGTCGAATCGAGTTCTGTAAACAAGGGATTTTCCAAGGGAAAATCGTTGAACTCACTTTTGTGATTGAATCATCAATTCAAGCCAAACATTAATCAAATAGGAACAATTTCACTCAAAGTATACCTAACACAGGAGAACTATTGGTGTGAAAGTATTGTACAGTCGATTACAAATTTAGATTGCAGAGAGTTTGTTCTGAGCGCTAAAGGCACTCACGATAGAGCACATTTTGCTTTATTCTAACATTCAATCACAAAAGGCAACAAAAAGAAATTACTCCAAGAACAGCACTACCTTATCTACGAAGGAGTGAGTGATTCCTTGAGGATGGGACGTTCTTCATCCGGTGGTGGAAGAGGACGTGTGACTCCTCAGAAAGTCAAGAGCAATTCAAGTTCAACAGTTGTGAAACATCTATTTTCAACGAAAGATGAAAACGATGGAAAGGCAAGATTGTCGTACGAAGATGCCAAGGAAAGAGTGATTGACTATATCCAAGCTTCTGGAATGAAATGTTCCAAAGACATGGTGAAATCAATCCAAGATGGAAAGTCGATCAACTTCAATGCGATCGCTCCAAGATTGAACGCTCCAACTCAAACTGAAGCTGTTGCAAGAGAAACAGAGATGGCCCAAAACAAGATTCTCTATTCTGCAAAGCTCCACGAGAACATGCGAAGATCAGCATACTACGAGACAAACAAGAGAACCGTCAAATCAAACATCATGTTGAAGTTTGTGATGAAGGCAATGGATATCAAGCTTCGAGGTTAAGCCGATTTCACGACTGCTCTTGAAGATCCGATCGAACTCTTGAAACGTATTGAACAATTCATGAAGAAGAGTGCTGATGCTGAGTATGATTTCTTGGATTTCTGGGAAGCGAATCAAAAGTTCTCTGCTATGAAGCAAGGAACAACAGAAGACTTGATGCATTTCAAGGAACGATTCTTGAGACAGGCTGAAGTCCTACAAGATCTATATGGCGTGGCCTGGTTCCGAGATTTTGCAGTCAAGACGAAAGTGTATGCTGCTATTGCTAACACCGATACTGCTGCTCAAAACAAGTTCGAGGATGATATCTTTGAAGCCTTTCTGGCAACAGGATTTCTATGCAACAGCGATCAAACGAGATCAGCTCCTCTGATGCTGGATCTTCAGAGGAACTATTGCAGAGAAGTGGATTATTATCCAAAGACGGTCAGCAAAGCATGGAAGTGAGTAAAAATCCGGGAGTGAACCTCTACCAAGGAAAAGACCAACCTAATAAAGGTAAAGGTAAAGGAAAGGGGAAACTGAAGGATGGAAAGAAGGCAGCATGTTATGTGTGTGGCAACGAAGACCATATGTCTCCAAAATGCCCAGACAGTCTGCTGCCAAAGACCCAATGGAAGAGTCAGGATCAATTTGTTGATTATGGGAAGAAGCTCAATCTTAATCAGATTGGAGCAACTGTCCCAGCTATGGTTCCAGCTATAGTTTCTGGAGCATCAGCGTCCACAAGTGGAGCATCAAGTGTTGCGGGAAGCGTTAACACACATTTGCGACTTGCTGGTACTACAGGTAATCAAATTATGCAAGTTCCTTCTGGAATGCCATGTCGAACTTCAAGCCGACTGGCACTATGCTAGTGAAGATGAAGATTTGCCTGATCTTGCTACTGAAGCAGATCGAGGTCTGCAGCTTATTCAAAGCCGCAGAAAGGAACAAGATCCATTTGGGTTGTACGATCATGTCATCATGGACAGTGGTTGTACAAACACAACCATTTGTAATGGTGAGATTATGCATGGACTCCGTCATGCTGAGAAAGAACTTGACATGCACAGTAACGTGGGTAGCAGAGTTCTCGACAAAGAAGGTTTTCGAAGAAGATTTCCACCTCCAGTTTATCACAATGAAGATGGAATTGCCA